TCTTTGTTAATTTTCCATTACTCGCTGTATCTGTATGTCTGCACTGATTGGCTGATGGTAGGCGCTGTGAGCTTGTTGCCTCGGCCGAGCTCTGCAGCCCAGATGAACTCGCTGTTCCCGTGATGAGCTAGCGCGTCTAAACGGCAGCTTCAGAGCTGCGCCGCGGTGTTTTGTGCAGAATCAGGTACTCGCTGCAGTGTTTGAGACTCCTTTATGGTGTCCGTCATCCTCTGACAGTGGGCGTGTTAACACAGATGCTCTGCTGTTACCTTTGGTCGTCACTCTCTGGAGTCCTGTTGTCCAATATAAAGCACCTTGAGGCGACTGTTGTTGATATTTGGCGCTATATAAATAAAACTGAATTGAATTGTTGGTTCTTGGACACAGATTTAGTTCTTTTCTCAGCTCCGATCATGTTAATGTGCAGCGACTGCAGCGTGTTGTTGATTTCTGGGCTCTTTAACCGATGTGGCGCACAGAGTCTGATCTACAGAGTGTTGGTGACTGATGATCTGCTGTCTGTAGGTGTGGAGAACGTCACCATCCAGCTCAACCTAGAGGCTGAGTTTCACTTCACGCATCTCATCATGACCTTCAAGGTGAGTTCTACACATGCAGCAGGGGATTCTGGGTAGTTGACAGGTGATTCTGGTCTCTTTTAATCTGAAGAACCAGGTCCACACAGTGATTGAGGAGTTGTTGTGAGTTGTGTATTGAAAGGACATAGCAAGTACTCCATAATCGGAAGGGTTACGACCAGGGCTGGACTGGACGGCATTGCGGTGAGCCGACACACAATGCAGCTGTCTTCTCCCAAACCTTTGCTGTGTGCTCACGTAGCTTGTAGAAAAGTTTAGTGTGGAAGAAAGTGGAGCTGAAAGTCTGAGAAAACAATAAAATAATGAATTAAAGTGAAATTACTAACATGTTAGCTGCTGTTAGCTGCTGTTAGCTGCTGTTAGCTGCTGTTAGCCGCTGCACCGTGAACAGCAGTACCAGTAACAGCCAGTAACCAGACCTCACAATCACAGGAGGCTACAGCTGCACCAGCTGAGGAGAAGTGAGGAAGAGGAGGTTAACATGGTAAGAAAACAGATGGAGGGAATCTGGACGACAGATTGAAGGATTCAGGCTGCTTTGACCACGAGTCACTACTAACAGCTTAAGTGTAGTCTTTAATTATTGTCACATGCTGCAGTGCAACTAAGGACAACAACACCTGCACCAACCTGATTATGTATCAATGATCTGAAATCAAACAGAATGAAATGTTTGCATATGACGCCTCTGGTAGAGGACCCAAGCTTGAAGGATAAGTCCCGCCCACAGCGCCACAGGGGAATGAAATTGGGGTTTTGTCAGTGATCATGGTGCAGTCCAGCCCGGGTCTTCACCACGCCATCATCCTCACCACATGATCCTCAGTTTTCCCACTTTTGTCTTTATTTCCTCAGACCTTTCGGCCTGCTGCCATGGTGATTGAGCGGTCAGCTGACTTCGGGAAGACGTGGCAGGTTTACCGTTACTTTGCTTATGACTGCGAGTCGTCCTTCCCGTCCGTGTACCGGGGTCCAATGAGAAAGGTTGACGATGTCATCTGTGACTCGCGTTACTCTGACATTGAGCCATCCACTGAAGGAGAGGTACATCTGCTGCTCCTGTGAATAACACTAACATTATCCACACTGCTGCGGGTAATGCTGTTTGTTTCTTTTCCTCAGGTGATTTTCAGAGTGTTGGATCCAGCATTCAGGATCGATGACCCCTACAGTCCCCGAATCCAGAGTACGTCTCCTTCTCTGCGTCGCGTAGGGGTGTTGACCAGTTATTGATGAATTTTACTGGTTCTTTGTTTAGACATGCTGAAGATCACCAACTTGAGGGTGAAGTTCACCAAACTGCACACGCTTGGAGACAACCTCCTGGACTCCCGTATGGAGATCAAAGAGAAGTACTACTACGCCATCTATGACATGGTGGTGCGAGGAAACTGCTTCTGCTACGGACACGCCTCTGAGTGCGCCCCCGTCGAGGGAGCTGGGCAGATAACAGAGGGCATGGTGAGGACGATTACGGACTGTATTTATATGGCCACGTTGCTATGACGACAACCATGCATTAGGAGGTACCCGATCGTAATAGGAAGCGTCACACAGATACCTGCCAATTAGTGTCTGTAACATCCAATCAAATCAGGGACTCCAATTAGCTGAGGTGAGGCCTCGCAGACAGCTAGCAGCTACGTCCACCTGTCAGTCAAAGAGGCCACGCCCCTAGTAACCAACACTTTAAGCTTAAAGCAGTTTAAACACGTGAGCAAACAGCATATCAAGTAAACATGTTGACTTCTGCTGTAAAATTCAACATGGCGGTCTGTGGGTGAAGTGTAGGCTTTGATGCTGAGCCGGGTGTGAAAGTAAAAAAGTATAAAATCACACAGACACTGGAAGAAACAGTGCAACAGGCAACTGACTACATGTAAAAAAACCCAGCTTATGACCAGTAATGTAAGTGAACGCTGATTGATTATTGATTATTTGTGTTTCAGGTTCATGGCCACTGCTTATGTAACCACAACACTAAAGGTCTGAACTGTGAACAGTGCCAGGACTTCTACCACGACCTCCCCTGGAGACCCGCAGAGGGACGCAACACCAACGCCTGCAAGAGTGAGTCTGCACCGGTCCATACTGGGCACAGCCCATATCACTGCTGGGAGTAGTTTAACTGTCCCTTCTTCTTCTGTGGTGTCCTCAGAGTGTAACTGTAACCAGCACTCGGACTCGTGTCACTTTGACGGGGCAGTCTTTGCGGCTTCAGGAAACGTGAGCGGAGGAGTTTGTGACGACTGTGAGCACAACACGGCTGGAAACAACTGTGAGCAGTGCAAACCGTTTTACTACCAGCATCCGGAGAGTGACATCAGAGACGCCAACATCTGCCAGCGTGAGTTCACCGCCACTTTGACACACCGGTGGAGGCCAACAGAGCCTGCAGCTCCACCAATTATTCTAAGGGTGTTTTTTAGTGTCAGAGTTTGTAAACCGTCGTCGTTTTACTGCTGCCAGGCTAAAAGTTAAAAGCATCTACCCAAAACTTCCATCGAGGTCGTTTTTATGGCTCTTTTGATCATCTTCTTTGTTCTTTGAGGACTTTTTGTCCTCAATGTTTGCTTTCACATCAACAAAGAAACTGAATGTTGGCTGTTTTCTGAGGAAGCTCACGTTTCATGATGACACAGGCAGACGCGGATAGGAGGTTGTTTTGTCAGCAGGAAGTAGATTAAAGGCTGGATCTCAGACTAAACATGGAGGAGGAGGGTTTTTGATGTGACACATGAAGGTTTGTGGTTTCCCTCAGGCTCAGACCTGCCCTCCTCACAGGGATCAGTTCAACATAGCTCGCACATCCCTCTCTGAGGGCTGAACAAGCAGCACCTTCTGTCATTACTGCCACTGCATTTCTTTAATTAAAGTCGCAAAGGGTTGTGGGTGATGTGAGTTAAAATGTGCTCCAGAGATCAAAGATGGAGGCGGGAGTTTAATTTCCAGGATAAAAAAGAAACTTATTTTGGGTCAAAGTCAGACACATTCACAGTTTTTGTGATGATGTCATTCCACGGCACTTTTATGTCCTTCATTTAACTCATTAAATTATAAAATGCTTCAACATATCAGAGACATGCCTGCGTCTGGGCTGGTGGTGGCGCTGTGGAGAAGCTCACAGTATGTGAATCGTGTCCTCGTCTGTCTGTGGTGTCACAGTCTCACACCTAAACACGCCCTGTTGTGGTTCTGGTTAAGCTAAACGTCCTGTTTCTGCAGCCTGTGACTGCGACCCCGTGGGCTCTCTGAACGGAGGACTCTGCGACGGCACGACGGACTTCCGAGCCGGGCTGATCGCCGGTCAGTGCCGCTGTAAAGCCAACGTGGAGGGAGAACGCTGCGAGCGCTGCAAGCCGGCGCATTTTGGGCTGAGTGATGAGCCTGCAGGCTGCAAAGGTACGAAACGTAACGAAACACCTGCAGGACCAGCTGTCACCAGATTACCCAGAACTCCCCCACAGACGCCTCACGCTGTAAAGCACCTCGAGGGGGCGTGGCTGGGACTTAACGTTGTTGTTATGAATGAAGCTGCGTTGCCTTGGTGATGTACTTTTGTGTGTTACTGTGTTGGACAGCGTGTACCTGCAGTCCTCTGGGAACTCTACCTGGAGGAAACCCCTGTGACAGAGAAACAGGAAGTTGTTTCTGTAAACGTCTGGTGACCGGGCGAGACTGTGACCAGTGTGTGGTGAGAAACCC